TTGGAGATAGGAGTCTCATGGTCTCTCCTGCCCGGGCTGGCTTTGAACCGCGATCCTCAGATCTCAGCCTCCTGAGTAGCTAGGATTACAGGCGTTAGCAACCAGCGCCTGGCCTTGAGAGACTCTTATCTCCGATTCATCAGCAAAAAGCAGGAAGTAGAGCTGTGGCTCAACTGATATAGCACCAGTCTTGAGTGACAAAGCCAAGTTAGAGCACAATGCCCTGAGCTCCAGTACCAGCACCCAAAAAAACCAAAAAACAGGGCTAGGAAGGTAGTGTTTGCCTTGCATGTATGAGGCCCTGGGTTTGATTCCTCAGCACCTCATAAGCAGAAAATGCTGCAAGGCGCTGTGACTCAACTGGTAGAGCGCTAGCCTTAAGCTGAAGATCTCAGGGATAGCGCCCAGGCTCAGAGTTCAGGCCCCATGACTGACAAAAAAAAAAAAAAGGAGCCTTCTGCCTGTGTCATCTTCATCTTCTTCTTCCTCTGGTGCTCATGATAGCCTGTGTGCTGGGCTTTGGTGGCCTTTGGCTTCATTAGAATGGGGAAGGGACAGAAACAGAATCTTCTCACCAGAAGTAATTACTTTCCTTTTCCTTTTTTCTTTTCTTTTTATGCTGATACCTGGGACTTTGAGCATTTTTTCCCCCCTGTCAGTTGTGGGACTTGAACTCTGGGCCTGGGCGCTGTCCCTCAGCTCTTCACCTCAAGTCTAGCACTCTACCACTTGAGCCACAGTGCCACTTCCAATTTTTTGGTGGTTTATTGGAGATAAGAGTCTCACAGACATGGGGCTGGGAAGGTGGCTCAGTGGTAGAGCACTTGCCTTGCATGCCTGAGGCCCTGGGTTCGATTCCTCAGTACCACATAAGCAAAAAGCTGGAAGTGGCGCTGTGGCTCAAGTGGTAGAGTGGTAGCCTTGAGCTGAAGAGCTGAGGGACAGCGCCCAGGCCCTGAGTTCAGGCCCCACGACCAGATCCAAAAAAAAAGAGTCTCACAGAGGTTCCTGCCCAGGCTGGCTTTGAACCGTGATCCTCAGATCTCAGCCTCCTGAGTAGCTAAGATTACAGGCGTGAACCACCGGCTCCCGGCTAGGACTTTGAGCTCTTGCTTAGATTTTTGCTCAGTGCTCCTCTACCACTTGAGTCATACCTCTACTTTTGGCTTTCTGGTTAATTGGAGATAAGATTCTCATGGATTCTTCCTGATTGAACTGGCTATGAACCTCTAGCAGATTTCAGTCTCTTGAGTAGCTTAGAAGGACAGGTGTGAGACATCGGTACAAGATCTCTTAATTTTCATGATGGCCATAACAGTTAATACAGTTAAAAGTTTACTAGTTACATAACTGTACTTTATTAAGAACTTTAGGCCTAACATACTTTAGGCTAATGTTTGAATTGTCTTTTTTTATTTTTATTTTTTGCCAGTCCTGGGGCTTGAACTCAGGATCTGGGTGCTGCCCCTGAGCGTTTTTGCTCAAATCTGGTAGTCTACCACTTGAGCCACAGCTCCACTTTGGGATTTTTTCTTTTCTAGTTCATTGGAGATATGAGTCTCAGACTTGCCTGCCCATCGGGCTTTATACCTCCATCTTCCAATCTTGGCCTCCTAGGATGACCGGCATAAGCCACCCATGCCCAGATCATGGTTGGAGGTTCAAGAGTGTGCTTTGGCTACACTTGGAAACATTTAACCCAATTTTCACTGCAGCCCACACAAAGTTTCCATTAACCATGGGGACAGTGGGTCAGCTGTCCAGCTAGGAATGGACTTCTGGCTTGCAAAAGTCTTTCCCTGATCAGAAGAAAATCTTCTCCTGTGTCTGGGGTGAGTCCTGAGCAGGGTCCCTGAGCCATGGGTTTTGCAATACAATGATCTCATCCCTCCTAAGAGGGTTTGGAAGGGAGAGAGAACATTAAACCTCAGAAGGCAATTGAATCCAATCAAAGGCAGGTCTGAAGTTGAGTTTGGGTTACTAAGCTACAAAAGAAAGGCAGAGAGAAAAGAGAGGGGGCTGGGAGAGAAAGCTTCCTAAGTTCTTAAATAAGCAAACAAATTATTAGTCTCTGCCTGGCAAAGCTTAAAAAATGTGAAACATAAAGACAGGGTATTTCCTCTTTTATGAAAAGAGCCAAACAGGCATTCAAAGGAAAAGTACATTTTACAATTACACTCTTGGGCTGCATCCCAAATCCATCTTAGAATGGATCACAGGAATCTGTAAATTTTCTTTTGTGTGTGTGCCTCTACTTCAAGCTTGGGCTTGAACTCAGGACCTTGCACTCTCTGTTGATTTTATTGCTCAAGACTGGCACTATACCACTTGAAGCACACCTTTACTTCCAGCTTTCTGTTGGTTAATTGGAGATCAGATTCTCTTGGATTTTTGTCCACAGGGTGGCTTTGAACCTTGATCATCAGATCTCAGCCTCCTGAGAATCCTAGCTACTACAGTAGCTAATATAATCCTCAGGATTATAAGCTTGAGCCACCAATGTTGGGTGGGGATTTTTATTCTTTTAATTAATTAATTATTATTTTGGTATTGGTTCTGGGACTTGAACTCAGGGCCTGGGCACTGTCCCTAAGCTTCTTTTGCTCAATGCTAGAGCTCTAACACTTGAGCCACCGCTACACATTGGCTTTTTTTTTTTTTTTCTTGCCAGTCCTAGGGCTTGAAGTCTGGGCCTGGGAACTGTTCCTGAGCTTCTTTTGCTCAAGGTTAGCACTCTTATCATTTGAGCAACAACCAATTCCAGCCTTTTCTGTTTTGGTGGTACTGAGATTAAAGAAAGACTGAGGGAAAAACTAATGTACTTGTTGCCTTCATTATCTAAGTGTAACCCTTTGTTCATCACCTTTTCAATAAAAAAAGACAAAACACACACATACACACACACACACACACACACACACACACACACACACACAAATTATGGCTTAGTGGTAGAGTGCTTGCCTAGCATTCATGAAGCCCTGGGTTCGATTCCTTAGTCC